AGATTTTGGAATTTGTGCCCGTTGTTGCTTGCAGAGTTTAGGTACTGTTGTCGGTCAAGAATTTTCTTGCATTCACGTTCCAGTTCATCCCAGAGGTGTTCAGTGGAGTTGAGGTCAGGACTGGTTTTGGGCCACCCAAATTTCTCTACACCAAACTCCTCTTTATTTTGAATTTTTGGTGCATTTTAGGGTTGCTAACACATCGGTTTAAAAATTGTGATGGATGATTAGGCCCCATGTACACAGGACACTTCTGAACGATGGAAACTGACTGCTGAAAAAACGTAGGTTATAAAACGTCTGTTTAGCCACGTTTGCATAACGCGTTTATGCGCGTTTTTGGGTTTAGAAGCGTTTTTTTTTAAAGATAAGCACAGGAGAACCTCCCAAATGCCCAGAATGCACTGAAAAGTGGTAAATTATAACTATTGCTGACTGTTTCATAGAAATACAGAGAGCGGAATTAGAGACAGCAGTATGTGTTGAGATTAGCTTAGGTTTGAGTTGCTCATTAACATTTCTTTTGTTTCCAAGGGTGGAAAAGGTGTCTAGTGGAGGGAGTCATTAAGACCACCTAGCATGGGGTCTTCATGAGAAATTTGAGGTGTGAATGGTCATTAACTCTTTTGTTTCCAAGGGTGGGAGAGGTCTGTGGTATGAATGGTCCTTACAATGTGTGACAAGCTTGGTAGGAACATCCTGTGTTCAGTGTTTTGTCCATCTGAGTACCTTGAAAACGCTTTGCATGCATTTTTCATGATGAAAAAAGGCTCAGGACACGTTATGGATCGACCAGTGGTAGCCTCTAGCACTCCACAGACCGGGATTCCCCAGGGCGCGGAATCAAAGTTCTGACCTCCTTGTTCACCAGGCCCCCTGATGGTGGGGATGGACTTGGAGCAAGCCGAAACCAGGTCGCGGCCCCTGGGTGCAACTAGCTGTGGTAGAAGCACTTGCGGGGGTATGTAGCAGGTGAGTGTCTGATGTGAGGAGGCACAGTGAGCGAGGTCAGACAGGCCAGGTCGGTAACAGCGGAGGCAGGACGGTACAAGCGCAGGCAGCAGAAGAATAAACTGGTCACGGTCCAGGTTCAGAAAAAACAAGGAAGGGTTGTAACAGCGCAAACACTGCAAAGTCCTGGGAAATGGTAGTATGGGGTGATGGTGGTATTAGTGGCTACTGTATGAAGAGCGTAGGATTCCGTGTGGCACTGAGGGCAAAGCTTCCAAATAAGCTGTAGCAACTTCTGTAGATGAGAAAAAGGAGAGAAGCGCCTCTAAGTGCAATAAGTCTTTTTTATTCAAGTCTAAATGTAGAAACACACATGTGTGAAGTAATCGTAAGCATAAAAAACCGTGGTTACCAATAGTTAACGGTGGGGTGGTAACCCGGGTGAAGAGCCGTCATCTCTCTGCGATGTGGGGAGGTCAGCTCTCGGCTGGAACAGCGTGGTGGCTGGAGGGAAACTGCAGTGAGGCCGGCCGGCATGCACGTCCTCCCTCAGAGCCGGATGGAACGCACGCTGGAACGTAGCGGCGTTCGTGTGGCCGTGATGACGTCAGATCCAGGGTGCACTGCGACGCGTTTCGGAGCATGCACTGGCCGTGGAAGTCGGAAGTGCACTCCTTTTTCAAGCAGGGGAGGTGGATGAACAGGGGTGAAATATATAGGGAACGTGAGTCTAATTGATCAATTAACCAATTAACCAGTGATTGACCATTGCTGTCAGGTGAATAGTGTAAAGTCATGGATGTTAAATGGGGGGGTAAAGGAAACCAAATGGAAAAAAGAGAGGCTGTAATAAGAAAACAGATGACGAAAGAAAAATGATGAAATGGGGGAAAAAAAAAAAATGAAAATGACATTAACAAAAGATTTTTGAACAGCTGAAAATCGAAGAAAACTATGTGAAAAAAATTTATGGGGTTAATAAAAATACAAAAGGAAGCAAAGGAAAAAAAAAAAAATTATATTCTGGGAGATTAGTGGGGGTAAAATGTTCACCTTGCAGCACTGGCACATCAATTATGTAAGTGGTAATACAGCATGATTGCAAGGTGGGATATGGTTATGGCTCTACAGGAGCTTCATAATAATTCTAACATATATACACGTTGCTAGCGGGTATATTGACAATGGGTGTTAACATGGTAAGATGATAAACATATTGGTAATAATGCATGCAAATGACATTATAAAGAGTAAATTACATTGTAAAAAATAGTAAACAGAATAAAATATAAATAATGAACAAAAGGTTATAAATAATAAACTAAAAATTGGATTAAAAAAAAATGCGATAAATTCGATTTAAAAAAAAAAAAAAAAAAAAAAAAAAAAGAGGGGGGGGGGGGGGGGAGGAAAAGTATCATTGTGAGTGTTGAATGGCTGTGAATGGGAGATTGTAGTGTTTATAGTATAGTGTTAATGTCTAATTCCTCGTTGAGTCCACCTGGGGACAATGTATCTAATGTAAATATCCAATAAGTTTCTTGTGAACAGAGTTTTTTTTGAAACTATCAGACTCAGAGAGATTGTTGTGTATATGGATTCTAAGACCAATACTTGTAGGCCATCAGTGGATTTTTTGGTGATATTCAAGGAAGTGGCGGGGACGCTATGTTTGTCTTTACCATCTTCAATAAGACGTCTGTGCTCTCCAAACCTGGCGCGTAGGGGTCTGATGGTGCGTCCCACATATAGGAGGCCGCAAGGCAGGATATACAGTAGATCACATGATCAGTGGAGCAGTTGTAAAATTCTTTGAATGAGTAGGTTTTTTCCTTTTGTGAGTGAAGTTTTTTTTGTCCGTGTTTAACGAGTTGGCAAGTTTTGCATAGCGCTTTGTTGCATCTATACATGCCGACAATGGGTATGAGCAGATTGTGTTGGGTGTGTTGGTGGGTGGGTTGTATTTGCTGGGGCAATCTTGTTTTTAAGGTTGATGGCTTTGCGGTAGGTGTATTTTGTTTTTTTATCTAAAATGTCTATTAAATGTGGATCCTGTAGTAGTATCGGCCAATGTCTATTGATAGGTCCAGGTTCAGCAACAGGAGATCAGTCGTGTAGGAGAATGGTCAGACAAGCCAGGGATCAGAGCAGGAGACAGTCAACGAAGCAGGGTCGGCAACAAAGTAATCTCTCAGGACACAGGATACAGGAAAAGACCATATGGCAACTAGAGCATGTTTAGTGTCTGTTTAAATAGGGCGCCCTGCACTCTCATTGGTGCCAGGTGTGCGATCGCAAGTGCTCATGCACGAACACCGTTACCGTCGCGGGTGCCCAGGTCCTATTGCCCGCACGCTAGTGCGCCCTGGCATACCGCGCATGCGCAGATTCGTGCGCCGTGGTATAGCCTGGAGTCCCTGACATTACAGCATCGGGAACTTGGAAGAGTTAAAAAAAAAAAAAAAAGAAAAAAAAAAAATTCAAACGTAAATGCTTATAAACTCTATTTGCTGCGTTTACAAGCATTTTGCATTTGACATGCTGATAAAATCGACTGCTGAATGCAAGTTTTCTGCATTAAAAGACTGTAAATGATGTGGAGAACATTAGGATGAGTTCAGGGGCTGCTGAAAAAAAACGCGCTGAACAGCTCCTAAACGTGCATTTTTATCAGCTGCAGTGTACATGGAGCCTTACAATCAAAGCATTGCTTGCAGGATCCATGTCAGATAGTAAAATTGGAAAAAGGTTGGAAGGTTAGTAGACTAGGCTCCCTTCGTCACACATGGAGGGAAGGTGAGGCTTGGAGGTGGAAGAGTAGAACGTCGGAAAGTGCCAAGAGGAAGGCTGATTAGATTATCAACACCTCCTGTGCTGCTGCTAATTTTTTTTTTTTTCTGGGTTTTTTTTTTTAGTGGTTTTTCTTTTAGTCACAAGATCATGTGTGAATTTGCTTTGCTTCAAACCAGGTAACCTTTTTCCCTTTTTTCTATGATATAAACAACTTACAAACATACGTCATGGCAAAATCTAAAGCATGCTGAGTGTCACAGCTGGGTCAGTGCAGGGAACGTATGTGCGCCGGTAATCCTTGCTGATTAGAGGCGCGGCTCTGTGTACATCCATTCTCCATCTTAACTGGAGGAATTTTTAATAAAAAAAAAAAGTCCCGCTCAAAGGCTTTTCCCCACATAAGGTCATTCGAAGTGCAGCGTTCGGATCAGAGATTGGTTCCAGCACTTGGCCAACCCTTGGTGCTGCATCTGTACCTGCCTTCCTAGAGGGGTCCGTGGGAGAGAATGAGGTTTGTGTCCCTAAACCAGAGTGCAAAATCTGGTGCAGCTCTGCATGGTAGCCAATCAGCTTCTGACTTCAGCTTGTTATAAAGCAGAACTACACGGCATCTGAGCATCACAAACACATTTTCTTTCATTTTTAATATTCAATGCAAACTCCCCTCATCCATCCATCCATCCATCCATGTCTATGGAGAAACCGAAAAAGGGCGCACCTGGCCTAGTGCATTATAGTTTAAAATATTTATTGAACAAAGTATCATACTTACAATAGACATAAAAACACAGGCATGTCAAACTGAACAAGATGTATGATCCAAACAACATCTTAATCCATACGATGGAACCCTGGATGACCAACTGGCTAACGCGCATTTCGAGGACACAACCTCTTCCTCAGAGGGGTTGACTCTGAGGAAGAGGTTATGTCCTCGAAACGCGTTAGCCAGTTGGTCATCCAGGTTCCATCGTATGGACTCAGATGTTGTTTGGATCATACATCTTGTTCAGTTTGACATGCCTGTGTTTTTATGTCTATTGTAAGTATGATACTTTGTTCAATAAATATTTTAAACGATAATGCACTAGGCCGGTGCGCCCTTTTTCTGTTTCTCCTTTTGCATCTATTGTATTTGGACCACCCTGGTCTGTTGAAGGCAGCAAGCAGTACATATTCCAGAACATTCCTGTTGGGTCTACTGAGTCCTTTCCTAGCGCAGGAGAAAAGTATTTGTTGTGTTGGATTATCCATCCATGTCTCCATGCTTTATTTTGCTGAGATAATGCGATTAACCCCCCTGGTGGTATTCCCGAGTGTAGTTTGGGGTAAAGTTTCAGCACCACAAGCGGTGACCCCAAACTACACTCAGGAATACACTGCGGCGGGATCCTTCCAGCACTTGCTTTGTCCTGCAGTCCCGCGATGTCCCCTCTGCAGTGTCCCCGGCCATCTCCTCCGGCCGATGCCAGCATCTGTCTCCTGGGTTCTGTTCCCTGCGAGCGTCGGGATGTACGGGGGGACGTAACTGGCGGGAAAAAATTTAAAAAGTGAAATTTACTCAATACACTAAAATCACATAGTATAACATTACTGTATCAAACCATTTCACATTTTGTCCCGAGTGCTTTGTCCGGCGCCCTGGTTGCATTTTTTACTGTTTATGCCTGGAAACTGAGAAACGTCCATGGCATCCAAAAAGCGTTCCTTTTAGGTCAAAATCAGTTTTAGACCGGCTAGAGAACAGCGATAGTAAATCAGAACCACTTGCAGAATTGAGTGATAATGATTGGTGGGGGAAATTCATCATCAGACACTGAAAACGATTCTGCGACTTTGCTCAGCGATGTGTGAACTTGGCGCTATATTTCAAATTTAGTGATTTTAGTCTGATTACATTATTGAATTAAATTTATTATAATTATAATTTTTGATTTCGGGTTTCAAATTTTATCATACCCGGGATGTTTACTAGACTCTTGTTCGGACAGATTTCAGTGAGTTATTCCTAAGAATTACAGCCTACAATAAAAAGACATATTTCCATGCAAAAACAATGTACCGCTTTAAGCACAGAAATATGGACATAATCAGACCGCTAGGGAGGTTAAACACCCCTAGCAGCATTTCCGGCTGTGGCCATCATGGCAAAAAAGGCATAAAATGATTCATGTAGCATTTATTTCCTAAAAACTGTCTGCCCTTAGCCCAGGCATGCAGTGAAGAGGGTGTGCTTGGCCAAAGAGAACACCACCTCCCCCTTCTGAACACTCCTGGGATGTGTGCCATCATTTTGCCTAGGCATGGAAACCAGGAAGTAACCAGAGGAATGTAAAAGGTGTAAAAACAAGTAAATATGATTTACTTTCCTATGTATTTTCTAATGCTAGCAGCAAAAGGATTAAAAATTGTGCTGATTGAGAGAGTGACGTTCCACTTTAACCTTTGACACTAAAAAAAAAAAAAACCTTGAAGCTAAATGGGTCCTATGCAGAGCTGCACCAGATTTGTTTTCAGTACATCGGCCCCAGTGAATTTTGGTGGTGCCATAGATGGCTAGAACAATTTGACCGCGGTTCTAATCATTCCCACTCCATTCAAAACCAAAGCGTTTGGGCCCTGCATATACCCAAAGTAGCATGAAGGGCAACTTTTTTTTTTTTTTGTTCTCCCCTCCCCCCCCCCCGTTGGGATTTCCCTTGGCTTCCTGTCCCATAGCCAAACAAGACGTGAGAGGAAATTCCTGAAAATTTAGGGGAATTCCTTGGGGGGGGGGGGGGGGGGGTCACCCCCCCAGGTCACCAGGACTAGTGTCCCCATTAGAAGATTTCCTCTTACTTTTCTGGAGACAACCCAGAATTTGGGATTTTCTTTTACTTTCACTTTCAATAATAATGGTAAGTGAGGAAAATCCAGAGGATGACTCTCCTTAATGGGGGCGCGGATGGCATTGGAAGCTTTAAAGGCGTTCTAATCCCTCTGCACGCTATCTAAAGCTAATCAAAAGTTTTGACTTTAGTTATACTGTAGCCTACATGGCGGTATTCCCGAGTGTAGCTCGGGGTAAAGTTTCAGTACCACAAGCGATAACCCCGAGCTACACTCGGGCTTACCATGCGGCGCTGCTCCGGGATCCTTCGATCACTTACCTTGTCCTGCGCTCCCACGATGTGCCTCCTGCAGTGTCCCCGGCAATGTAATCCGGCCGATGCCGGCATCTGTCTTCTGGGTTCAGTCCCCTGCGAGCGTCAGAACGTACGGGGGGACGGAACCGGCGGGAAATTTGAAAATGACAAAGTGACATTCACAAAAATCACTAAAATCACATAGTATAACATTCCTGTATCAAACCATTTCACATACATTTTGTCCCGAGTGCTTTGTCCGGCGCCCTGCCTGTATTTTTACTGTTCTTTCTACCTACTGGAAACTGAGAAACGTCCATGGCGTCCAAAAAGCGTCCCTTTAGGTCAAAAGTGGTTAGACTGGCTAGAGAACAGAGATAGTAAATCAGAACCACTTGCAGAACTTGAGTGATAATGATTTGTGGGGGAAATTCCTCATCAGACACTGAAAACGATTCTGCGACTTTGCTCAGTGATGTGCGAACTTGGTGCTATATTTCAAAAATGTCACTATTTTTTTTGGTTTTTGATTATATTTAATTCAATTTTTTATTTTTATGATTATTTATTAAATTATAATTTATGATTTCAGGTTTCAAGTTTTATCCTACCCGGGATGTTTACTAGACTCTTGTTTTAGACAGATTTCAGTGATTTATTCCTAAGAATTACAAGCCTACAATAAAAAACGCCAAATTTCCATGCAAAATAATGGTACAGCTTTCGGCACCAAAAATCTGAAATAATCATACCGCCAGGGAGGTTAAAGCCGTAGTAAACCAGCAAAGAAAAAAAAAAAAACAATCGCCTGTAAAATGTTGTGCTAGTATGCAATGTGTAATTACCACATTATGACATCATGAAAGACTTGCTGACAGGGCTTCAGTCTTCACCCAGTCTTCCTTAGGTTTGTGTTCTCTTGTCAAAGAGGAAAAAAAAAACAGGGCTAGGCCCGACTTTTATCATGGCACTTGTCAGGGACGATTTATTATAAAGCAGCAGGAAGAGAAGTACCTTCTATTGCTCAGATCACCACCGCTTGGTGAAATTTGCCTCTAAACTGGCAATATGCCAGAAAAAAAAACCCACACCTTCTGTGAAAGACGTAAACTCCAACCACATCTGAGGATTCAGGATGGTAATGGTTACGTCAGCTGCAGATTTCAAAGCTTTGTTTACATTTTTTTCGCTTCGTTCTGCATCTTCTATGATTCCCATTGACCACTAAGAAGAATCTTTTGGCAGCTGGGTGACTCCATGATGTTCTTTGTTTATAGCCTCCAGTGATTGCAGTCAATGGGCGTCCTACTATGCCACCAAGGTTGATAGCAGTGCTAGCTGGTGCAACGAGTAAGAAGCTTTCTGCCATTACTAGTGAAGGGCGGTGAGATGTTGGCCGTGTTCAAGGCAGGAAGACCTCACATCCTGGGCACTCTGCTTCCTGTGGTGAAGTCTGACCTTAATGTGATTGGAAACAAATATACCCAATGAATTGACTGGTGTCAGGTGCAGTGCCTTGAAAAAGTATTCATACCCCCTTGAAATTTTCCACATTTTGCCATGTTGCAACCAATAACATAAATGTTTTTATTGGGATTTGATGTGATAGACCAACACAAAGTGGCACATAATTGTGAAGTGGAAGGAAAATCAGAAATGGTTTTCAAAAATTTTACAAACCTGTAAAGTGTGGTGTGCGTTTGTATTCGGCCCCCCAGAGTCAATACTTTAGGACCCCCTTTTCACTGCAATTCCAGCTGCAAGTCTTTTTGGGGATGTCTCTACCTGCTTTGCACATCTAGAGATGGACATTTCTGCCCATTCTTCTTTGCAGAATCGCTCAAGCTCTGTCAGATTGGATGGAGAGCGTCTGGGAACAGCTGTGTTTTTTAAGACTTGCCACCGATTCTCAATTGGATTTCGGTCTGGACTGTGACTGGGCCAATCTAACACATGGATATGCTTTGATCTAAACTATCCCGTTGTAGCTCTGGCTGGATGTTTCGGATTGTTGTCCTGCTGGAAGGGGAACCTCCGCCTAAATCTCAAGTCTTTTGCAGACTCTTAACAGGTTTTCTTCTAAGATTTCCCTGTATTTGGCTCCATCCATCTTCCCGTCAACTCCGACCAGCTTCCCTGTCCCTGCTGAAGAAAAGCATCTCCACCACATGATGCTGCCACCACCATGTTTCACAGTGGGGATGGTGAGTTCAGGGTGATGTGCAGTGTTAGTTTTCCACCACACACCGCATTTTGCTTTTAGGCCAAAAAGTTCAATTTTGGTCTAATCTGACCAGAGCGCCTTCTTCCACATGTTTGTTGTGTCCCCCACATGGCTTCTCACAAACTGAAAATTGAACTTATTATGGATTTCTTTCAACAATGGCTTTTCTTGCCACTCTTCCATAAGGCCAAATTTGTGGAGTGCACAACTAATTGTCATGTGGACAGATTCTCCCATCTGAGCTTTGGATCTCTACAGCTCCTCCAAGGTTAAAATGGGCCTCTTGGCTGCTTCTGATTAATGCTCTCCTTGCGGGCCTGGCCTGTCAGTTTAGGTGGACGGCCATGTCTTGGTAGGTTTGTAGTTGTGCCATAGGCTCTCCATTTCTGGATGATGGATTGAACTGTGCTCTGTGAGATGTTCAAAGCTTGAGATATATTATATATTTTTTTTTTTTTTTTTTACTAAAAAGATAACTGAATACATTTCGGCAAAGATTTATGAAGACAGATTATTTGCAAATATTTTATAAACACTTTGGGGAAAAAAAAAAAGTTTCGACTTTCATTTAAATAGCAAAATAAATAAAAAATCCCAGTGGTGAATAAATACCACCAAAATAAAGCTTTATCTGTCTCAAAAAAATGCTAAATTCATATGGGTACAGTGTTGCATGACTGTGCAATTGTCCATTCAAAGTGCGATGGCTCTGAAAATTTGGCCTGGAAGGGGGTTAATTTGTCAGGACTGGAAATGGTTAAATAAAATTTGGGTCTGGGCACCTTATGCTACCATTTTTGTTTAAAAGTGTTAGAACATGAAGTTTTTGCGCCTGTACAGATACAGATCATCCTAAAATTTTCTATGAAAAGCTGCGATTTCTCCATGTGCTGTACTTGTCTTGCCTCTCTTAGGTTTTTAAATCTGTACTGAAGATCCGTAACAATGAGGAGATCACTTTGAAACCCTATTATCTCCTTCTTGTGTTTCTATGTTCTCTTTTGTAGGCTGCTGTCTTCCATTCGAATAGCTGAACTATTACTTGGATGGCTTCCTTTGTTCTGCAGTGTATTTATAAACCTTAATAAGGCATCTGTTCCTAGGTGTAAATACAACCTGGAATCTTGTAAATTGCATAAAGTGATTTTAAAGTCATCTAATTGGAACTGTGAGCTTTTTCATTATCACTCTGGGAGTTAATGCAGCTGCTGACTTCTGTTCCCCGAGTAATGTATATTCATGAAGTTTCCATTGGCAGAACTCGTCCGTAGCATTGGTTGGGGCAGATGTGGTTCTGTTCTATCCTTTCACAGCTATGGTCACTTTGCCAAAAGGGTTCAGTCACCCCGAGTTGACCGTGAATTTTTTTTTTTTCCCCCCTCCATTTCAAAAAGATGAGGGAGATGAATTTAAAAAAAAAAAAAAAAAAAATATATATATATATATATATATATATATATATATATATATATATATATATATATATATATATATATGGTAAAGGTTGGAATAGGGGGGGGGGGGGGGAAGTTCTTTTGGGTTTTTTTTTTTTTTTTTTGTATGTTGGGGGAAAACAATGGAATAATGTTAACATTTTAACTGATGGAAGAGAGAAAATGAAAACTTCAATAAAATATTAATGGAAAAAAAATTTAATCCATATTTGGTGTGAGCCCCTTTTTGTGTGTAAATGTACCTAGAAGAATTGATGGCAGTTTTTAAAGGAACTCTGCAGGTAGGTTGTTCCAAACCACATCATGGAGAACAAACCACAGATCTTCTTCATGTAATCCCAGACAGACTCCATGATGTTGAGATCAGGTCTCTGTGGGGGCCAAACCATCACTTCCAGGACTCCTTGTTCTTTACACTGAAGAGTTCTTAATGACATGAGCTGTATGTTTGGGGCCATTAACATGCAGAATAAATTTGGGGCCAATCACACACCTCCCTGGTGGAGTTTACAATCCTAAAAGGGAGGGATCAATCGTGTCATACCAAGAAGCAGGGCCCTCTTGTATTGAACTGTATTGTTGCTGTATTGTCTCCCTTTTTATATTGTAAAGCGCTGAGCAAACTGTTGGCGATTTATATAAATCCTGTATAAGTATCTGGCAGTGTCCCTCAGCATTAAGGACACCATTGATCCTGACCATCTCCAACCCTCTTTGCAGGAATGCAGTCCCAAACATGCAAAGAACCTCCACCATGCTTCACTGTTGCCTGCAGACACTCATTGTACCGCTCTCCAGCCCTTCACGAACAAACTGCCTCCTGTTACAGCCAAATATTTCACATTTTTGACTCGTCCAGAGCACCTGCTGCCTGCCATTTTTCTGCAGCCCAGTTCCCTAGGTGTTCCTGCATAGTTAAGTCACTTAGCCTTGTTTCCACATCAGAGGAATGATTTTTTGGCCTCAATTCTTCCATTTTAGACCACTTCTGGACAGACTTCTCCGGACAGTAGATGGGTGTACCTGGGTTCGACTGGTTTGCACCAGTTCTCTGCTGATGGCACTACTGGACATCTCCTGATGTTGAAGGGAAGTAAGCATGATGTGCCTTTTCATTGCTGTATCAGGTTACCTTGGCCGACCACTGTGTCTACGGTCCTCAACATTTCTTTATGCTGCTTCTTCAAAGCATGAACAGCACAACTTGAAATCCCAGTCTGCTTTGACATCTTTGCCTGGGAGAGATTTTGCTGACGCAGTAGAACTACCTTGTGGTCTATTGCTGTGCTCAGTCTTGCCATGATATATGGTCTGTGATATGAAAGTCTTTCACAACCTCACCTTATTAACTGTCTGGCTGTTCCTCATCCAGTTTTAAGCCACCTGTACAGTAGTTTGTGTTACTAAACCCCGGACCCGGCATTCACTACATCCGCTCTCCCCGGACCCGGCATTCACTACATCCGCTCTCCCCGGACCCGGCATTCACTACATCCGC